CGACTCGAAAAACCCGATGACTCGAGATGAACTAATCAATTCTCTTTCCGGCTCAGACTGCATTGGTTAAACTTATGGGGCTGTCACGTGATGAACGAGTGACTCGGAAAAACCCGAAGACTCGAAACAGGTGAACTACTTGACTAATTCCAGTACAGAACCTATAGGATGTTGCGCATGCGCGACTGAACGAATCACTCCCCGAGACCCGAGTCACATTAAAGATTCGTTCAAAATGAACGAATCGTTCAAGAACGACCCAACACTAGTGCGTTCGACTTCATGCGGCGCCGCGCAAACCGATCGGCGGCTGACTTGAAGCAGTGCATGTCGGTTAGAAATTTTGTCCGACTTGACGGCTCCGTTTTCAACTCCGCCCCCGACTGCAAGCGGCTACTCTCGTTGACTGCCGTCTGTAGCCGTGCTTCAAGTCGAACGCACCTACTGTAATTCGTTTAACTTCAAGTGGTACTCACTGCAGAGTCAAATGACTTCCAGCTCCGCCTCTCTGGACGTCTAATGGGGTGGAGGGATAGAGTTGTGGGTAGGGTTAGGGTGTGGTTGGATATTCTAGCTCCACCTATTAGGCACAAATTACATTCGCTCCTCCCCGCTGGACGTCTAGCGAGGGGGGGCTACACGTAAGCTCCACCCATTTGCTCTGCAGCGAGCAGCCTCTCTTTAACTTTACAGTACAGAAACAGATAATATAAAAATGAAGGAAATAAATGTTGGAGTTAAATAAAAGTAACCCCTCTCCAAAAAAAAATAAATAAAAATAAAATATGTTTTTAATTATTATTTCATAAATCTAATATTATAAATGATTACATATTACATTTAGATAATAAAATACGATAAAAATATTGAATATTTTATTTATTGAATATTTATTTATTTAATACATGCATGTGAGATGAGATTAGGCCAGCAGCACCGCCTATACTTTGTTTTGATTGGTTAGTTTCTGACTCACAGCCAATCAGCCTGCTTGCTTTGGAGTTCATGCAGCCAAACAAGTTCGCTAGTTCCTAGATCAGGGGTAGGCAAGCTCGGTCCTAGAGAGCCGCAGTCCTGCAGAGTTCAGCTCCAACCCTAATCAAACACACCTGAACAAGCTAATCAATGTTGCCATTAGCCCCTGGCCTTCACCTATGCCCCGCTTTCCAAAAAATACTGTACCGTGGCTCGACAAATTTCTTTCTTTCTTTTTTTTTTGACAGTGGCGTGTTTAGTGCCAGCCATTGGGGGCTGAGAATTTGTAATGTGTGGTCAGACTGTGAGTCACTTGACCAGAGAAAGCTTTTGCCAAAATGTCCCGTCGCTACAGATGAAAGATTGTGTGCACACATTTTAATGAGTTTATAAATATAAAGTGTTGGGAAGTGTTTATGACAACCGATGTGACCATCATCTAGCACATAATTTCTTGATGTAACTATTCTCATTATGAATTATATTTAGTAGGCATCCCTGCACTTGACATTATTATTAATACTTTTTTTCCCTGTGTTTGACAGTATCATATATTTTGGGTTCAGGCTACTAAACAATTATAAAAGGGACTATAACTATTTAAAATGATGTTGAAATGAGGGCAGTTCTTGATCTAAAATATTTTGAAGTATGATCAGGATGTGTAAAATATTTATTTATTATTATCAACATTTTATTGAGTTTTATTATATATATATATATATATATATATATATCAATTGACAGCTTAAAACAGCCCTTATTTATTTGAAAATGTAGTCTTTTTCACAGCACTTTCAAGTAAATTTACTTTTTCAAGTAAATAAAGATCAGAAAGGGAAAAGAAAGGGAAAAAATGGTTCGATTCAGAGCAAGAAAAAGGCTGAAATTCAGTTTGTACATATCTGAACATAAATATTTAGATATTGTATATAATTGTGATAATAATATATTAATTAATTTGTAATCTTTCTTTGTACATGCTTTGCTTTAAAGTCTTTTTTTCCCCAATGCAGTAGAAAATCACATGCACTGCCCTCTTGTGGATAAGAAATCAAATTGCAAGCAGCATAAAAAATTGGACCTTTCTTACTTTTTTGATATAACAGACAAACCTCACCATCCACCATCATCATTTGCAGCCTGTATTAATAAAATAGCGAGAGTTTATTCTGTTATCTACAGCTGGGTAAACTTTAATTGCAGCTCCAGTTTGACAGATTGTGTATGGAACACGATTGTGTGTTCTTTTCCTAGTTAACAATATCTGCAGTGCTCCTTTGAAATTCCTGCTCATATGGAAAGAGTTAATTCAAGGATGTGATTTGTCCCTGTCCGAGCAGCTGAAATTTATCACTGCCAGCGCCAATGTGCAAATTTTGTGATGTCGGCAGTGCATTGTTAACAGTGATTGTCATCTAATTAAATCGTGGCTCGTCACAAGAGATGCTTTTTATGCTGAGATAAGCATTGGGAGTCTACTCAAGCATTCCCAAGATCAATAAAGATGTTCCCTTCTGGATTACGAATAGTCTTGAGGGTTACGTGGGGCAGAGGAATTAATTAGGAAAGAATTCTTATATCCCCCCATAGACACACTTTCATAGTTGGGTAGTTGAGGTGGGAAGAAGGGTGTTTAAATGGTTTGATATCAGCTTTCACTCCGCTTTAATGCAAATGTTTAAGAGAAAGCATCAGGAAAACTTCTTAATCCTAATCTATCTCAAAGCAAATTAAAAAGTGGAACTAAAATTAAGTTATGTGTCCTATATGTGTATTGTTATCCATGCTTTCAGTCCACAATCTACTCAAAGTTACTGAAAATATAAAAGCAATCATCATTTATTACACAAACATATACATATGTATATATATGCTTATATATGTGTGTGTGTATATGTATATATACAGTATATGGTATATGATTTTATATATAAATATACAATTATATTGATCCTATTTAAATGTATTGTGTATATACATAATAATAAATAATATAATTAATTATTTTTACTTTTTACTTAGTAAGAAGTAAAGACGACATGCAGTCAAATTTGTTTTTGTAGATTCATGCAGATGTATTGATTGATTTAGTGCATCCAGGCAGCAAACGCTTGGTGAGCTCTAACCTGTCTAAGTACACTCTCATCAGTTTTAATGTGTTCAGTCTCATTGTGTTGATACAAGCCAGTGTCTCAGTCCAATTCACTGCATCGTTCCCTCCTGAAAGAGCACAGCTTGAGACCCTTAGCAAAACCAACAGTGCTTTTTATTGCTGAAATGCAATCAAATCAACATATATACAGTATGTTTTTTTAGAAAATATTCACAAGATATGGCAGACTAAACACAGGGAATTTTGTTGTCACTTGCGTGACTGATCTCTTTTGTTGTTGCCGTGATCACGGAACAATCCCAGATATCACCGTCTTTGTTCGAGCTCTTTTGTAGACGGCGGCACATATGCACATAGTGTTTTTTTTTTTACAGCGTACTCAGGTGCACGGCAGTGTCATTCCCCATTGCTTGCACGGAGTGAGAGGTGAGCTTGCTAAAAGACACATAGAAAATAGACTGATTGCAGAATAGAGGTAGGCATGCCCGTTTAATGCACTCACACCCTAACCCTGCCATTCTTTCATCAGCCCCCACGCAATCCACCCCAAATACACACATTTTTTCCATTGGCCTTGTGCAAACTGAACAAAGGGAACCGGTAAAAAGTAGAAGAGAAAGAAAAGCAACAACAGAAAAGCTGATGTTCCTATCTGTATAATCCAAGGGTGCTCAGAAGTAGCTTGAGGTTAAACCTCCCTTCACGCCTTGTTCCTATTTCACACTTTAATGGCATTTTAATGTGACTGTCACTCTGAGGTAGGGTTCACGGCGTTCAGGTGTGGTCTTCAAAAGAGCTGGAGGAGGGGAAAACCTATAATGCAATAAATAAGAAAAGCACCTATAGTCATATACAGTACATATACCCCCGGTTTCACAGACAAGGCTTAAGCCTAGTCCCCGACTAAAATGTAAGTCTGAGCTGTTTCAACTGAAAGAAACTTGCACTGATTGATCTTGAAAGATGTCAGTGCCCTTGTTTTCTCTCAAGATGCACACCAGTAATGTTTTTTCTAAGGCATGTTTATAAAAATGATTTTAAAATCCTAATTGAACTTTGGCCTATAGTCCTATCTGAAGCTAAGCCCCGTCTGTGAAACCAGGCAATTGTGTATTTAATATACATATATGTATATGCAAGATATATATTAATTTCTAATATATTTATGTTAAGAAATGTATATATTTTTCCCTAATAAATTTCCAGTTTTAAATTTTAGAAGTCATTAGAATTAATATACTTTTGCTTTTTATTAACTGGCAATTTATTGGGGAAAATTGTATTTCCTAATATAAATTTATTAGGATATTAGTATATGTCTTCTGCTTTTCTTT